CACGCCGGGGTACCTTCAGGCCCCCACGACTCCCACTGAACTTGCTGCTGACGCTGGCAAGGATGAGCAGTGGCGGTACCGGGTGGACAGCCTTGCCTACACGCAGTGGACGTGACGCTGTCGCACAGCTTGCCGTCCGAGCTCACCTGCCGGTCGACCAGAGGGACCACTTTCGTCAGGTGACGTCGGCCCAGACTTTGTACGACGCTTTGGTTAGACAATTCTCCTCCCTCTCTCCTACCACCGGCCACTGCGACAGCGCCGTCTGTTGTTAGGGGCGGTGTAGTAGCTGGTTGAGGAGGCGAGTGTAGGTACCTAGGAATATGCTCGTACAGGTGGTGCCACTGGTGGAGGCGGAGGTTCTGGGGGTGGATAGCAGCGGCAGCAGCGTCAGCCGGCAACCCTCTTGCCACAGCAGCTTCGGGAGTGGGTTTCTCAGCGACGCGTCCCTGGTGGTGTAGAGGCTGCTAGTCTAGGTGTCTGTGCGCCTGCCAGCACAAGTGCAGCTCCTGCTGAGGCTTTGCACACTTTCACGCTTGACTCCGGCGCGTCTCGTTGCTTCTTCCGCAACTGCACCACAGTCACACCGCTCACTGCAAATGTCCCTGTCACTCTGGCTGATCCCTCTGGTGCCCAGTAGTAGCACGTGCCTCCACCGTTCTCCCCTGTCCAGCAGCCCCCTCCGGCTCACTCACGGGTGTCCACCTCCCTTCGTTCGCTACGAACTTGGTGAGTAACACTGTCCTCCATGACCAGTTGGTCTCTACCCCTTCTCCTGAGGGTGAGCTTGTGGCAATCTGTACGGACTCACGGACAGGCGCCCACCTCGCCACATTCACTCAGAGACCCGGTTCTGGCCTGTACACACTGACCACTGAGTCCGCACAAGTAGCTACGTCTGGTCAGGTCGCTGTGTCTTCCACGTGTCGGGTACTGACCCACCCGTCTCTCCTCTGGCACCACCGTCTGGGTCACCCCTCCCTGCCGCGTCTGCGTAGCATGGACTCTCATCTCATTGTCTCTGGCCTCCTTAGATCCCTGCCCCAGCTCCCTCAGTCACTTGTGCCGCCGTGCCTTCCCTACATGAGGGGCGGCAGCGCGCCGCTCCTCACTCCTCCTCGTTTCCTCCGATCACTGCTCCTGTGCAGACTCTCCACATGGACGTGTGGGGCCCCGCCTGCGTCAGTGGACAGGACCGCGAGCGCTACTTTCTGCTGGTTGTTGAGGACTATACGCGCTACACCACGGTATTTGCCTTGTAGAGCAAGGCTGATGTCCGCGGTGTCTTGATCCCTTGGAACCGCAATGTTTGTCGCCAGCTGAGCGCACGATTCTGGCAGGACCTCCAGGTCCTGCGACTGCACTCTGACCGAGGTGGTGAGTTTTCCACCCGCCTCCTTCAAAACTTTTGTCGTGTTGAGGACATCACCCACTTGTTCATGCTTCGGGCCTCTCCACAGCAAAATGGGATTGCTAAGCGCTGCGTTGGCTTGATTATGGAGGTTGCTACCACCTCCATGATCTATGCGGCTGCTCCCCATTTTCTGTATCCGTTTGCGGTCCGATACGCCGCGCATCAGTTCAACATCTGGCCCCGTATCTCCGTGCCAGAGACCTCGCCTACACTACGTTGGACGGGGCTGATTGGCGATGCGTCGACGTTTCGAGTCTGGAATTGGCTTGCCCTTGTCCGCAATACCACCGCAGACAAGCTCTCTTCTCGCACCGTTCGCTGCGCCTTCCTTGGCTTTCCCACCGACGCGCCTGACTGGCACCACCCCGCCACGCGTCGCATCCTGTTATCTTAGGACGTCACCTTTGACGAGTCGGTCGACTACTACCGTCTCCACCCCCACGACACTTCCCCCGTCCCCCCCCTCCTCTCTTCCTGGTTCCAGGTCCCCCCCCCCGTAGACCCCCTCCCCCCACAGGGTCCTGCTCCCTTAGGTGTGTCTCAGGTTGACCCACCCCCTTTGGTTGAGCCTTTGAAGGTCCCCTTTGACGATTCTAGCCCAGCTGAGGGGGATTACTCCACTGCTGACGACACAACGGCCACTCGCCACTCGCCGCGCTTAGAGACCCCTCCTTGTTTCCCGCCTTGTCCATCTTCACCGCCTCCGCAGCCTGTCGCTGTGGACTCAGGTGTTGCTGGGGGTGGTGATAATGGAGGTGCGAACTTTGGGGGTGCTGACTCTGGAGGTGCTGGTTCTAGGGGTGCTGAGTCTGGGGGTGCTGGTTCTGGAGGTGCTGAGAGTCCGCGTGGTGGTGGAGTTGTGGGTGCTCCTACTAGAGGTGCTAGGAGTGGACAATAGTGGCCGTCTTGTTGGCAGGAGACTCTCTCGCCGCAGCAGCTTCGCAATTGGGTTCTTCGGCGAGGCCGCTCTGGTGACAGAGCTAGAGCTACTAGAGCTGGAGGTGCTAGAGGCGCTGGTGCTGGAGGTGCTTGAGCTGGAGGTGCTGGTACTAGAGGTACTGGAGCTGGAGGTGCTAGAGGCGCTTTTGCTGGAGGTGCTGGTGCTGGAGGTACTGGAGCTAAAGGTGCTGGAGGTATTGGAGCTGGAGGTTCTGAACTGTAGGTGCAACGCAGCGGCGACTGCTTTTATTGCCTCCGCTGCAGTCGTCGCTGCCGCCATCTGACTCCGCACTTCGTCATGTTTTTAGCCTTCCGTCTTCCACTGGCCTTACTCCTCCTCTACTATGTCCACCGCTAGACTCGTCTACTGCTTGGCTCCCCCCTGCCTACACCTCCTTACACTGAAGCGACAAAGTTCCTGACCAAGAGTAGATAGCCTACATCACGTCTTATTACGCCTGTTTGTACTCGTCGTACCTCTCGTGCTCTCCCTCCACCTGTCCCCAGCACTCGCACTATGGCACTTCGTCCTTCCTGTGTTCCACAGCGTGTTGTCGTGCCTTCGCCTCCTGAGTCTTTTCTTCCTGCAGTTGCTGACCCTAGGTCTGACTTTGCTTGTGCTGCTAGTCCGACTGTCACTCGTCTTCTCGCCACGCTTCAGACTAACCCTACGCTTTTGTCTCTTTCTGCGTCTGCCTTTGTCGCTGAGCTTGTTAAGTTAGCGGCTACTTGCCGTCTTGACTATGCTGCGCGTCTAGTTGCTGAATCTGACTTTCCTCCGTCCGTCGGGAGTGAGCTTGCCCTTGGCTGTGACGTCCTTGAAGACAGGCAGTTTGAGCTCGAGTGCTTTGCGACTGCTGTACCTCATCTCACTGCCATGCTACTTGCCCCTGAGGGAGACCCATATGCATTTGACGTCCCGACCCCACGCACTCACGCAGAGGCTAGCTCGGGTCAGTACTCCTCTTACTCGCAGATAGGCATGGACGCAGAGATGGCATAATGGAAGTCCACAGACACTTACGTTGATGCAGTTCCCCCTCCTGGGGCGAACATAGTCGATGGCATGTGGATTTTCAGGGTGAAGCGGCCGCCGGGTTCTCCGCCTGGCTTCAAGGCGCGTTACGTTGCACAAGGCTTCAGTCAGCAACAAGGGTCAACTTTTTTCGGAACTTCTCCCCCACCCCAAAGATGACCACTCTTTGGGTGTTACTGCACGTTGCAACACAGTGTGACTACGAGCTGCACTCCCTCAACTTTTCCACAACCTTCTTGCAAGGCAGTCTTCACGAGGAGATTTAGTTGCATCGCCTACCTGGCTTCACTCGGTCGTTTACTGAGGGTACCGAGTAGAGCCTCCGGCAGCCAGTCTACGGTCCCCGCCAGGCGCCCCGCGAGTGGCACGACACACTGAGGACGACACTTGCAGTATGCTCCGTCGACTACTGAACCTTCGTTGTTTTTGCGCACAGACCCTTCTCTGTCACCGTTCTACGTCCTCGTATATGTTGACGAGATGGTCTTTGCTACTACTGACACTGAGGCACTCACCCTTGTGAAGGCGGAACTACAGAAAAGACACACCTCCACTGACATGGGTGAGCTGCGCAGCTATCTTGGCTTGTAGATCACCCGGGACAGAGCAGCGCGTACCATCACTCTGACTTAGTTACACATGGTGCACCAGGTCCTTTCGCGCTTCCGCTTTCAGCTCTCCTCGCCACAGCCCACTCCTCTGCCTACGGGCCACTCGCTCTCAGCTCCACCTTTGGACGAGTCCGTAGAGCCGAGTGGTCCGTATCCAGCGCTTGTGGGTTGCCTCATGTACCTGATGACCTGCACTCGACCAGACCTCGCGTATCCTTTCACCATCCTAGCACTCTTTGTTGCCCCCAGGAGACACCGCTCTGGCACTATCGGGCTGCGCAGGGGGTACTACGTTATGCATTACGTCACGAATGGGGCTTGTGCTTGGAGGACGGGGTCGAGTTGTGCTCATTGGGCACTCGAAGGCTTCTTGGGTCGACGACCAGGAGACTCAGCGCTCGGCACAGGGTTACGCTTTCAGTCTTTGCGCTGGTTCTGTCTCCCAGAGGTCCACCCGCTCGTCTTCTGTACTTAGTTCGAGCTGTGAGGCAGAGATCTACGCTGGGGCTATGGCTGCGCAGGAGTTACGCTGGCTGACCTATCTGCTGACTGACTTGGGTGAACGGCCACATTATCCTTCTGTTCTGTACGTCAACAACAAGGCCATGATTGCCTTGTGCCGCGAGAAGAGAGTGGAGCATAGAACGAAGCACATTGTTCTTCGTTACTTTCTCGCTCGTGATCAACTTGCCATTCCTCTCTCACTTTTCCATACATGTATTCCTCGTCCTTCTCATCTCCATCTCACTCCACCTTCTCCCCCATTGCCCTCCCGTTTACTCCCATCCCCTTCGCTCCCCTCCCCTTCACTCTCCTCTTCATCCTCCAAATCACCCCCTTCTCCTTCCTCCCTTTCATTCTCCCCACTTTTGCTCCCTCATCCGCCTCCCCCATTCGCACTTCCCCTTCATCTTCTTCCTCCGATCCACCCACTGCACGATCTCGCTCATCCAGGTTCGTTGTACCATTGATCACCACCCTCCATCTTTTCTTCGCTCCCCTACACGCCACTCCCCTCCTCATCGCGCCCCTCCCCTTTGTTCCCCTCTCCTCCCTCGCTTTCACTTCCTTCGCCTTCAATCCCCTCGTCCTCCTCCGCAGTCCCCATTTCCTCTTCATCCTCTCCCTCCTCTTCATCCCCTCCCTCCGAGCCACCCACCACATGCTCTGCAGTGTCCAGGTCAGCTGTACCAACAATGTTCAGATTCCATCTTGACAGCAGCGGGCAGCGTTGGACCACACATACCTGCAGCTTCCCCATCTGCCGAAGGCCCGAGGGTAACTGAGCCAGCAGCGTGCACTCCATCAGCTGTAACATCTCTAGTGCTGGCAGCTGCGAAAACGATTCGGGCAGGCTGCGGAGTTTGGGCAGCCACAGAGAGAGTCTTTGCAAAGAAGAGAGCTTCCAGAAGTCATCTAGAAGGCACAAAATGCCAACCTTGGACAAATGACATGACTCCAGTCCGCATAGATCAGTGAAGGACTCGGGAAGGCTGGTTAGGTCAGGGCAGCTAACAATCTCAAAAGACTGAAGCTTCTTCAGCTGCCCGAGCTACTCAGGCAGCTCAGTCAAGCTCATGAGACCCTCTAGTCTGAGGTATGTGAGGGCTGAAAGCTTCCCCATTGTCTCTGGCAGAGCTAGCAGGCTTCTGGAAAGGCGGATTCTGAGTGACTGCAAGCGAGAGAGGTGAGAGATGGAGTCTGGAAGCAAGCGGAGCCGATCCATTCCGGAAATCTCTAGGCTTGATAGCGAGGGGAAGGAGCCCAGCAATGGACCGAGCAGCTGCAATGGAAGGCCTGCAATGCTAAGGCTCTCAAGGGATGGCAGCAACACACCCGTGTCACTATCCTCTGATCCCCCACAGCTGCTAGCGGCACTGCTGCTGCTCGTATGACCGGTTAACTGGAGGAGGCTGATTCTTCCCACAAGGTCATGCCTGGCAGCTCCCATGTGTGCATCCCCCGTGTGTCCATCCCCCGTGTGTCCATCCCCCGTGTATGCATCCCCCGTGTGTGCATCCCCTCTGTCCTCATCCCCAAAGGGAGACTGCAGCGCGCCGCAATTATTCACATGGAGATCTTTCAGTCGCTGTAGTTGGCAGAGCAAGCGAGGGAGCGACTTCAGGTTAGGCAGATCGCAGAGCGAGAGTGTTTCAAGCGCTTCCAGCCGTCCGATCTCCTCGGGCAGCGCCATGATTTGCGTGCAGACGAGCAGCTCTAGGCTGGTGAGAGAGCGGCCGATGGCAGGGAGGGAGGCAGGCAGGGCGGTCAGGTGCGGCAGGGAGAAGAGAGAGAGCTCCTTGAGGCTTGTCAAGTGGGAGAACCCGTCTGGTGGGGCGCCTCGTAGGCTGGGTCCATCACGGGTCGTTAGGGTTTTGAGGGAGGAGAGGTTGGAGAAGGTGGGAGGGAGGTGGGTGAGAGCCGTGCACTCGAACAGCATCAGTCAGCGCAGGCTACGCAGACCATCCCCCATGCCCTGCGGTAGCACCGTCAGCTTGCAGCAGTCACTTATGGCCAGCAGCTCGAGGGAAGACAGCAGAGTCAGGGAGTCTGGAAGCTGAGTCAGCAGGCTGCATGTGACTATTTTCAGCTCCTTGAGGCTCGTCAGGTTGCCCAGCGATGCGGGGAGGCTGGTGAGCCGCGGAAGCTCAACCAGGTGCAGTGTCTCCAGGGCAGTCAGCTGCCCGAATTCCTCGGGCAGAGAATGTGGAGTTTCAAAGTTTTCGAGCGCGAGATCTCTGAGTGTGGTGGCAAGGTATACAGAGGGATGCAGGTGCACGACCATTCCAACGTCTAGCTTGAGCGTGCGTAGGCGTTGGAGGAGAGCGACGTCGAGGGGCAGATGTTAGAGTATTAGTTTGACGAGGATAAGGTCCGTTAGAGAAGTGAGGTGGGAAAGGGAGGCAGGGAAGGAGTCCATATTGCGGCAGTTGATTACGGAAAGAATCCGCAGCCGCTGCAGCTGCCCGAGACTCGCGTGCAGGTCGTTATTCCCCCCCACCTCCTCTAGACGTAGGATTTCAAGAGCCGGCAAGTTTTCGAAACTCTCTGACAGTGGTGAAAGGTCTTCGCAACGCATAATTTCGAGGGTCCGCAGCCATGAAAGGTTGGAGATGGATTCGGGCAGCTGAAGCCTCACGGACGCCTTGGTGGAAAGATGCGTCAAGTTGGTAAGCTGCCCGAAAGAATCGGGAATGGAATTGAGTTTATTGAAGTAGACCAGACGGAGCGACTTGAGCAGCTTCAGATTGCCGAAGCCCTGAGGCAGTTGATCCAGGCCGTACATTTCAAGCAACGAGTGCCTGTAACGAGGTGAACGTGTCTGGAAGGAGAGCGAGTCTGCACCTGCCCTTGATGTGCAGACTCTTTAGTGACGTAAGGCCGCCGATTGACGAAGGAATGGCGGTGAGATTCGACTGACAATCAAGATGAAGCCCCTCCAGCCATGTGCACTTCTTAAGAAGATGCGACAGTCCGCTCTCAGCGAACCCCCCCAATCTAAACGGTCGATGCATCTCATCGACATGGAGGTCCGTCAGATCTGGACACGTGTCGGCTATCCGCGAGAGGAGGGAGTCAGGGACGGGCGTGATGCTGCTGAAGGCGAGGACGAGCTTTCGGAGCCTTGGGAATGACGGGAAGTGCACGAGCAGCTCGCGAGGACGCATGCGTCGGAGTTTGCGAATGTGGATGTGGTCGTGCACGAGATGGGCAATGCGATGCCATTTCTTGCACAAGAGCGCGTGCTGGAACTGATCGTCGGATCGACCGACGAAACGGAGGATAATGGGGAGAAGATCGTCTGACAGCTGTCGGATCGGGAATGTAGCAGCCATTCCGACTAATTAATAAGTGGCAATGGGACTAACTTAAAGCGACGGTCTACATTCATAAATGCCTTTTTGGGGGACAATTAGCGTGGACACCCTAGGACGCACTCTGATTAGCTTGCGAAGTGACCCTTGTCCTGAAATGGGGGTGCGAAGGGGTCAAACAAGAGTGGCGAATCCCGCCAGTTTCGTGAAAAAAAACTCCGGTGGGAAAACAACTCTTGGCGAATCCTCCAGCGTGAGGTATGTAGGCCGCATCTTGAAGTGCTCGAAGGCTAAAAGGTTGCTGGGAGGCAAAATCAGTGGCATGGCAATCCCTAGGCTGTCACAGCGGACACGTTGGTCGGCGTTCCCTTTGGCCCGCGGGAGCGATGTTGTCATCGCTCTCCCGAGCGATAAGGCGCCAGACTGCGCCCCCTTGCCAGCTGGGGCCCGTCGTGACTCTCGTCGCGAGAGCCGGTTCCTCGCCCCACCTGAACACATCGTCACTTCCCCATCGCCAGCATCCACATCGTCACTTCCCGCAAAGCATAGACGCCTCGGCGAATTTAGGTACATAAGGGAAACCGGACGCGAAATTTGTTACTGATGCGAAAGAAAAAATCCGTCGTCAACCTGACTGAGCGCAACAGAGGGACTCACGGAGTTCTTCGCGCGGGGAAAATAAGACTAGTCTGTAAAGAGTCAAGCGCATGCGCGACGTTTCTTCATTTGCCTTAAAGCTTTTGTATACATTTGAAAAAGGGAGGTTCAAAAGTTTTGAATTTTGAAAGATTGGTAACCCAGCAACAGCTAGTTTCACTCGCTTCATAAGGGAGGTGATCTCCCCGACACCCAGGGCTCACAGGTGATTCAAAACTTTTGGAATAACCAAAGTATACGAAATCCAGTCCATGTGAGATCTACGCCACTACGCTCAACAGGCAGCATAAACCGTAGCTAAGCACATCGCGACTCAACAGCCAGCGCAAACCACTCCCGTTTCAGACACAAACTTAGACGCGTGGGGCAGTTTAGTGTAATTACACGTCCGAGCCAACGTCAGTTCCGCCCTCTGACACGGCGAGCCCGCCGGACCTCCTCTCACAGCCTCGCCTCGTCGTCCGTCGCGTCGCCTCACCACGCGGCCTCCTCACGCCACCATGAACGCGCACGCTGCGTCTCAAACTGCCGAACACAGTCCTCACAGTCGCCGCCCGATCGCGCGGCCTCGCTACCGCGTTTCCGCAGTAGCGGCGGCAGCCGCAATTGAGGTCGCGAGGGTAATCAGAAACGACTGCTCCCCGTTTCCCCTTCGCGCCTCCCCGTTTCCCCTTCCCGCCTCCCCAATTCCCCTTCCCGCCGCCCCATTTCCTCTTCCCGCTCCCCATTACCCCTTCACGCCTCCCCATTTCCCCTTCCCGCTCCCCATCACCCCTTCCCGCCTCCCCAATTCCCCTTCCCGCCACCCCATTTCCTCTTCCCGCTCCCCGTTACCCCTTCCCGTCTCCCCGTTTCCCCTTCCCGCCTCCCCGTTATCCCTTCCCACCTCCCCGTTTTCCCTTCCCGCTCCCCATTACCCCTTCGCGCCTCCCCGTTTCCCCTTCCCGCCTCCCCAATTCCCGTTCCCGCCACCCCATTTCCTCTTCCCGCTCCCCATTACCCCTTCCCGCCTCCCCGTTTCCCCTACCCGCCTCCCCGTTTTCCCTTCCCGCTCCCCATTACCCCTTCGCGCCTCCCCGTTTCCCCTTCCCGCCTCCCCAATTGTTGGTGCAACCCTACGGTTTGCACTCGGCTTGTTGTCCGTGTGCGTGCATGTGTGTGTGTATGGAATGGTATGAGGGCATGGGATAATATATATTTCATGCTTATAATTGTGTGTGAATGTTGAGTCATGATGTCGAGTGTGTGTGTCGAGTCAATAGCGAGTTATCGCTAGACGCGTGTTACGCGGTCGTTTGTGTCTCGCGCGCGGTTTCTATTTTGTCGTGCGCGGTTTCTATTTTGTCCTGTGTCGAACGTTCGGCGTGTCGCAGGTGTGTGCAGCAGACCCATCAAGAACTCAAGGATGAGTTTGTGATGAAGAGCCCGAGCCTTGGTGTCAAGCCTCAAGTGATTTCGAAGCTCGCCAAAAGGGTACACCTCAAGATATTGAAGATAGTTACATTACTTTGTGTAGTGTAACATTTCACTTGGTGTAGGCCCTAGTGAAGGGTAGTTTCGAGACCCTTCGTGGTTGGGGACAGTGTGGCACTGTTCCACATCACTGTACCTCGGCTCTTGGGGTTTGTAGGAGCTGGGAGTCATTCCCAACTCGTAACTCTTCCTAACTCTTCCTATCTTGTGTTCTAAGACTATAGTGGCTGCCATAGTGCCGTTCGTTCAAACTGACGCTGTGTCGTCAATACTTGGTGAAATCGTGCGATCTAAATTGCCTATTGTAGGCGACAATAAGACGCTCCAGATCCAAGTTGAATCAAGTCATTTGAAGCTGTGACCAGAACGCTATGAACGTTTGAAGCCGCTGTGCAGACATCCGACTGTGCACTCTATCTTTCGTTTTAGGCACATTGGAGCCTACTGTGACTATAACACCAATTCCCCTTCCCGCCACCCCATTTCCTCTTCCCGCTCCCCATTACCCCTTCCCGCCTCCCCATTACCCTTTCGCGCCTCCCTGTTTCCCCTTCCCGCCTCCCCAATTCCCCTTCCCGCCACCCCATTTCCTCTTCCCGCTCCCCATTACCCCTTCTCGCCTCCCCATTACCCCTTCCCGCCTCCCCGTTTCCCTTTCCCGCCTACCGATCCTCTCTTCCTACCAGCCCATCTCCCTCACATTATCTGCACTCTCCTCTCTCCTACCCTCTTATCACCTTCCGTGCTTTTTGTACCATGTCCTGAACCCCGCCATCCAGTGGCGTGTCCTTGAAGCTATCGCCACTCCGTTGCTGCAAGTGCTGCTGAGGCCGAGTGCTCGAAGTTTGTGCGAGCAAAGGCCAGCACTGGGAGGGACCTTGCCTCTTAGCTCCTCGCTTCCTGCACTTCGTTATCTGCGCGTGCTCCTCCCACCTCCCCGGGCGGGCTCTTCTAGCCGACCCGCCACCCTATCTCTCCCCTTCCCTCTCCCTGCCTATGCACCTCCTATCCCTGCCTATGCACCTCCTATCCCTGCCTATGCATCTCCTTTCCCTACCTATGCATCTCTCTTCCTTGCCTTCACATCACCCCTCCATGCCCTCGCAACCATCTCTCCCGCCTCCCCTACCTGCCTTCAAAGCCCTTCTTTCACCTGCCATAACTTTTCATCCACTCCCATCCCCTTCAAGCCCCTCCCATCCCATCCCCTTCCAGTCCCTCCCATCCCATTTCAAACCCTTCCATTCCCCTTCCAGTCCCTCCCATCCCATTTCAAACCCTTCCATTCCCCTTCCAGTCCCTCCCATCCCATTTCAAACCCTTTCATTCCCCTTCCAGCCCCTCCCATCCCATCCCCTTACAGCCCCTCCCATCCCCTTCCAGCCCCTCCCATCCTTTGCAGGTGACGAGGATAGGGTTGAAAATGATGAGGATGAATGTGACATTGAGGGGTGCGAAAGAGAACGGGAATTGCCCATCGAGATAGATTTTGCAA